TTAGGTCAGTAATAACAATGACTATATATTATGGCTATAGATATTTTATATAACACTTATGTATTATAAGGTAGATCAATCAGCTTTAATTATGATTTAATATCTTTATCCATGATCATTGTAAGCAACTTAAGAGCAGGAATCATGTTGTTTACCTTTGTGTTCCAAGGCCTAACATGATACCTGTTATATAATAGTTTTAACACATGTTGAATGAATGAATGCATACACATATACATGAGTGTGCATGATTATATAAATAGCACAATTCTGCATTCATGGATACCAGAACTAAGTGGGACAGACAATACTTAGAAAGGATATTTGATATCCAATATATAAGAAGGTTCACTAAACAAAGGGAAATGAAGTTTAATAGGATGGGTACTGAGAGCACCTATCTATAAGCTAACGTATGTGATTAATTTTTTTTTTCATATTCTCTCTAGTTGTATAATCATAACTACATAGTTGATATTCAACAAATGCTTGTTGAATGAACACTTCTTTTTTTTTTTTTTTTTTGAGACCGAGTTTCGCTCTTGTTACCCAGGCTGGAGTGCAAAGGCGGGATCTCGGCTCACCGCAATCTCCGCCTCCTGGGTTTAGGCAATTTTCCTGCCTCAGCCTCCTGAGTAGCTGGGATTACAGGCACGTGCCACCATGCCCAGCTAATTTTTTGTATTTTTAGTAGAGACGGGGTTTCACCATGTTGACCAGGATGGTCTCGATCTCTTGACCTCGTGATCTACCCGCCTCGGCCTCCCAAAGTGCTGGGATGACAGGCTTGAACCACCACGCCCGGCCCCAAATAATTCTACCTCCATAACATATGTCTTGAACCCAACTCCTCTCTATTGGCCTGAACTTTAATAGCATTCTATGTATCTCCACTCTTTCTCTTCCAAAGTAGCTTTAGTTGCCATATTAGTCCCCCTAAAACACACTGATCGTGTAACTTTTATTTTCGAATTTCCCAAATGGCTCCCTAGTATTCAGGATCCCTCATTTAAAAAAAATGCATAGGGAGTTCATAGTACAAAAGCCTAGAGCTGACACAGAGCAGATACTAAATGGTCAAAAATTAATGAACTCGGCTCTGTTGGAAAATTAGTTATCCATATGTTTTAAAATGAGAATGGATCCCTACACAAAAATCAATTTGTTATGTATTAAGAGATTTAAACATAAAAGAAAACATATGATAATTTAAAACCATCTCTACTTAGCCCTCTAGTCTCCCAGCTGTTGTTTACTACTGAGTTTCTTAGCGTAACTCCCTATACAAGCACAGTTTAGGAATCTGCTAAAAACTTGTGAGGAATTTGTATCCAGATTCTTGCATTCCTTCTCTGCAATTTTCTCCTCTCCAGGATTTTGACCTTTAAGTTCCAGCCACTACTATCTCGAAACTGCCTCAGTTTCTTCAGCCCAGTAAGACTGCTGCTTCCTGTTAAGAGTTGTATTCTCTTGCGTTCCAATTTGGAAAATGTCATAAAGGAAAAGGCCAGATGAATGTGGTGCTCACTTCATGTGCTTCTCTTCTCTGAATGATTGTAGTCTCTTAGATCCTGCCTGTGCTGATTCTTCTCAATGCCTTCAAACAGTATATATAGTATTTTATTCAGTTTTTATAGGCTTTTTGGCAGGCAAGTTAGTTTAAAATAAGCCATCCTGGCCAGAACTGATGCCTAGTTATGAACTGATGCCTAGTTTTGTTGGTTTCTCATTTTTCTAATTCCTTGTTTAAAAAAATTTTTTTTAAATTTATTTCCATTTTTTTTTTGAGGTAAGGTTTCACTCCAGTCACCCAGGCTGAAGTGCAGTGGTGTGATCTCTCCTCACTGCAGACTTCCCAGGCTCAAGCAATTCTCCCACCTCAGCCTCCTAAGTAGCTGGGAGTACACGTGCTCATTACCAAGACCAACTAATGTGTGTGTGTGTGTGTGTGTATTGTGTTTGTTTAGTAGAGACAGGGTTTATCCATGTTGCCCAGGCTGGTCTTGAATCCCTAGCCTCAAGTGATCCACCCGCCTTGGCCTCCCAAAGTTCTAGGATTACAGGTGTGAGCCACTGTGTCTGGCTGGATTCCTTCTTTTAATTATTTATAATATTAAATAAAATACAGATTTTTTGAGACAGGATCTTGCTTTGTTGTCCAGGCTGGTCTCAAACTCAGGGCTCAAGCAGCCCTGCTGCCTCAGTCTCTCGAGGAGCTAGTGTAATTTTTTTTTTTTTTTTTAAATAAATGGAGTCTCTCTATGTTGCCCTGGCTGGTCTTGAACTCCTGGCCTCAAGAGAACCTCTTGCCTGGGCTTTCTAAAGTACTGAAATTACAGGTGTGAGCCACTGTTCTTGGCTGATTTCTTCTTTCGTATCTTCAAACATTTCATCAGTGGTTATTTTATATGGTGTCTCTAATGATGCCAATCCCTGACGTTTTTCATAGACTAAATCTGTTTGTTGTTTCTGCTGACTCTCATTCACAGTAGACTGATCCCTTATGTGTTTGGTGATCTTTCATTGTGAGTTCATGTTTGGTTTGTGTAATATGGGGAAATCTGGGAAGTTTAAGGTAAAGATTTTTTTCTGAAGAGAATTTGTGTGTGTCTGTTTGGAGGCAAAAAGTATCACTGACCTGGAACATATTATCTCCAACTATTCTTTGAAAATTATTCATAGATCATTTACTATCTTATTCCTGACTGTTGTATACTACCTTTGATTTCTTAATGCTGGCGCTTTTTATAAAGCACAAATGAATTAACACAATACCCAGATTTAATTGGACAGAGGAGAATACTAAAGAATTATTACTATCCTTTTCTGGGAATTCTAGTGTTAGTGTGATCATTACTGCTTTTGGCAAGCATGTAAAAACAAACAGCCACACAGAGAAAGGGAGGAAATGCATAATTATCAGATACTTGAAAGAACATGAGATCTGTTACAAAATCAACTATGTAAATACTGCCATATAAATCATAGTTCGATTTATTCTTTGACACTATGAAAAACTTGTAATTTAAAAAATCAAAGTAGAAACAGAAAAGCAAAAGAAAACAATGCATGTTATCTGATGAAAAGATTTACAGCTAACATGTCTGGTTTACATTCCCCTTCCTTCAATTACCTTGATCATATAATACTTCAAAAATGTTGTAATGTTGGATCATCAACTGAAATCCTCACTTTCTCCACATAATCTACTCGATGTTAAGCTAGGTTCCTTCACTTTACATTTTTGAAGCTGAGTTTTACACCTAAATCAATCATAATGAAAAAGCTAAAGGGTATCAAAGTATTAATTTTGGGGCTATTCCCAATCTGAACTGTTTGCTTTTTTATGATAACAAGTTAAATGGAATTACCCTTCCTGAGTGAATAATTTCATCAGCTGACAAGCTCAGGTGAAAGGTTATAATATACATACCCGAGCAGTAGTTAAAACTGAGATTGCAAATGAGGGAGATTTTTTTTAATTACTATAATAAAAACCAAATTCAAGAGAAGTAACTTTGAAAATAACCTAACAGACCTAACTGAGAAGAGCATATAACTAGCATATTCAGTAGTATATATTAATGTCAGCCTCTTTTTATGCATTCGACTAATGAGAGGTATTTTTCTAACCCCTTAATTTATTAGCTATATCTGGTTCACATTTTTTAAATAGAAAATAACGCTAATAGTTCCTGCTGGATCTAACTCATTTTCATTGCTTTGTATTCAAAAAATACAGAAATCTGAAATAACAAAAAGAAATATATCAGGCATTGGAAACCTATTTTTTGTACCAAAATTTTATGGACGGAAAATAGTTTTTAGGTGAATAAGTCTTTAAATAAATGTAGAAGCTTCCTGTTTTATTTGTTTGATATGTTCAATCTTAAAAATCTGAGCTCTTAATAATACCTTTAAAAATGAAAAATCATTGATATTGGCAACATAGTTTTAGATTTTAAAAAGTTGAAAATACATTCAGAAAATAAATTTATTTTATGCCACTTAATGCTACATATGTCAAGAGACATTTCAACTTTTTAAATTTTATCTGATTTGATTTTTATTTATTTAATTATTTAGAGATAGGGTCTTGCTCTGTCACCCAACATGAAGTACAGTGATGTAAACTTGGTTTACTGCAGCCTCAACCTCACAGGTTCAAGTGATCTTCCCACCTGAGCCCTACAAGTAGCTGGACTGCAGCTAATTTTTTAATTTTTTGTAGAGATGGGGGTCTCGCTATGTTGCCCAGGCTGGGATTTCAGCTTTTTAAGTAAAAGTAATACTCATTAAGAAAAAAATTTTAAACTGTGAAAAGTAAAAAAAAAAATCCATATATACTCCCCAAATTTGAACCCAACCACTATTAATATCTTTGTGTATTTCTTTTTGGTCTTTATTTTTCCCTATATATAGACTGGTAACATAGTTTGATCACATTTTATATATAAATTTGATCTTTTTTTTCCAATAAACTTTAGATCACAGAATAAATTCTACTGTTCAAGGAACCTGAAATTCAGCCGCTGATGGTTATATATGCTTTTACTCTCTGCAGCTTAAAGACATCTTTTAGAGAAAATGTATAAAACCTAAGAGTCATGCTTTTGAGATTCTTTTTTTTTTTTGAGACGGAGTCTTGCTCTGTCACCCAGGCTGGAGTGCAATGGTGCAATCTTGGCTCACTGCAACCTCCGTCTCCTGGGTTCAAGCAATTCTCTACCTCAGCCTTCTGAATAGCTAGAATTATAGGTGCCTGCCACCACATCTTGCTAATTTTTGTAGAGACAAGGTTTCACCATCTTGGCCAGGCTGGTCTTGAACTCCTGACCTCGTGATCCACCCAGCTTGGACTCCCAAAATGTTGAGATTACAGGTGTGAGCCACTACGCCTGGCTAAGATTTCTTTATTATCTTTCCATTGCATAGTTCCACTAATCAACTAGCAGACATCATATAAAACATTCATTCTTCAAGGAAATTTTACTTCTCACCTTCTGAGCTGCAAGATGGAGGGCTGTTCTCTGGCTATGATCGGTTTTATTCACATCTGCTCCTGCCTTCAGGAGAGCATCTGCACAATCCAATCTGTCAGCCAACACGCAATACATAAGTGGTGTTCTCCCAAATTGATCTTCTTTGTCTTTAAGAGCAGAATTTCCTATGAGGATAAGAAACAGATAATGATATTTGATAATTGTTATTACTAATATAAGTAGGAATGATATTTACTGTTTATTATCAAGTATTGTGCTAAATGCATTAAAAATATCATCTTATTTTTACTTGTCCTAGGAAGTAGATATTACCATTGTCATATTATAGGAAACTAAGGCTCAAAGAAGTAGCCAGTCTATGTTCACACTGAAAGTAGGTGGAATTAGAATTCAAACTGATTGATAACTCAATCATCTTATGCTGAACTAACATTTTGAGATTCAGAGCTACTTATATTCCTCCCTCACTCTTGTCTTTTGAAACAAATATTTAATTAGTGCCAATTGCACACTAGGCATTGTAGTATGTTTTATGACTGACATAAAAATGAATCAAAGGCTGGGTGTGGTTGTTCATGCCTGTAATCCCAGCACTTTGGGATGTTGAGGTGGGCAGATCACCTGAGGTCAGGAGTTCGAGACCAGCCTGACCAACACGATGAAATCCTGTCTCTATGTAAAATACAAAAATTAGCCAGGTACGGTGGTGGGCACCTGTAAACCCTGCTACTCAGGAGATGGAGGCAGGAGAATCCCTTGAACCTGGGAGGCGGAGGTTGCAGTGAACCAAGATCGTACCATTGCACTGCAGCCTGGACAAGAGCAAAACCCCAACTCAAAAAAAAAACAAATCACAGCTGATATTCCTTTCTAGACAAGATGACAAGATAGAGCCAGTACATAGTATTGTCATCCTCCTGCTAATTACAACTGAAATCCCTAGGGCAAAAGACAAAATAAATGACAAGTGGAGAAGGGAAGGCAACCTTGACCAGGAACTTTGGAACTTGAGAGACAACCTGGTGGTAAGTTCCCTGAAGAGTTTTTTATTTGTTTGCTTGTTTGTTTTTGCCTCCAATCTATAGTAAATTAGGGGCCAGAGTAGCCTATAATCCAGAAACACGAAGGCGCACGGTTGCCAAATTTCTCGAGAAGCCTACTCTCTCTAGTAAAAAGGCTGGGAGGCAGGTAGGTCTGCTGAGTGAACCATTTGGCTATGCTCTACTCAAAGCACATACAACAAAAGAAACTGTACCCCTCTTCCCCACTGGGCATTACAGAAACTGTTCGGAGGAGCCCTGTCAAACTATCGTGACTTGAATTAAGCAAAGGATAGCAACAAGGTAGTATTTTACCCCTTTCAAACTAGAGAATAGAAGAGGATTATGAAGAGGATGAAGTTGGAGGAAGTAATTCTTTAAATTGGCATAATGTCAGGATGCTTTTGAGCAGCTCCTGTGTGAAACTGGTCAGAATCAAGATAGCAAAAGCTCTAAGAATTAAACTATAGTTAGATTACTGCCTTTGTTCTAAATGAGCCTGAGTAGCCCAGAGGTGTGGCAAACCAGAAAAGCCCTGCAAGATCTCTGAAAACTAACTTGAAATTTGAACCACAAAATCGAAAGAGAATGTTCATTCTGAATCTTAACAGCTTGTCAGTTTACTAAAATAAGATATTTAAATAGGAGCCAGAGTCTCATAATATAGAAATGTCAAAGATATAATCCCAAATTACAAAACAACTCAAAAGTTGGGAAAATATTAATTTAAACAAGAAAGGACAATCAACTGGCACCAACACTGTGATGACACAGATGTATTAGAACTATGTGACAGGGATTTTAAAGCAACTCTTATAAAAATGCTCTAACAATCAACTATGAACATTCATGAAACCAACAGAACATCAGGAATGAAAAAGGAACAGCAGAGGTCAGGGGCAGTGGCTCACTTGTAATCCCAGAACTTTGGGAGGCAGGCAGATCACAAATTCAGGAGTTTGAGACTAGCCTGGCCAACATGGTGAAACTGTCTCTACTAAAAATACAAAAATTAGCTGGGCATGGTGGTGGGTGCCTGTAATGCCAACTACTGGGGAGGCTGAGGCAGGAGAATGGCTTGAACCTGGGAGGCGGAGGCTGCAGTGAACCAAGATAGCTTGGGCTTTAGAGCTAGACTTCATCTGGAAAAAAGAAGGAAAGAAAAGAAGAGCAGAATGTAAATAACTGAAAAATAGACTGTTTTTATCCTCTTTAGTTTTTTGTTTTTATTTTAATGAGGGTCTCACTGTGCTGTCCAGGTTAGTCTTGAACTCCTGGTCTCAAGTAATCCTCCTTGAGTCAGACTCCTGAGTAGCTAGTCGCACCCAGCTTATCCTCTTTAGTTTTTAGAATTATGTTTTGATGATTGAGAGCAAAAATAGCCTTGTTGTATGATGTGGTTCTCAATTTATGTAGAGGTGATTTTTAAGATAACTACATCAAAAAGAAGGGTAAAGGGACCTAAGTAGTAATAAGGCTTCTGTATCGCACTAAAAGTGGAAAATACAGACTGTAATATAATAAGTATATATATTCTAATACCTAGATCACACACACACGCACACACACACACACACACACACACAGGCAGAAACAAACAAAAAACCTCCAACAAAAACAAACTATACAAAGAGATTTATTTAAGAACACAATATAGGCCCAACATGGGCCTATTTATTTAAAAACACCATATAGGCCCAGCAGGGGCCTATGATCCCAACATTTTGGGAGGCGATCACTTGAGGCCTGGAGTTCCAGACCAGGCTGGCCAACATGGCAAAAACCTGTTTCTACCAAAAATACAAAAATTAGTCGGGTGTGGTGGTGGCGCATGCCTGTAATACCAGCTAATTGGGAGGCTGAAGCATGAGAATCACTTGAACCCAGGAGGCAGAGATTGCACTGAGTTGAGATCGCACCACAGTACTCCAGCCTTCGTGACAGAACAAAAACCACAATATAAGATATCACTTCACATGCACTAGAATAGTTATAATAAAAAATTACATATAATAACAAGCATTGATGAGAATATGGAGAAGTCAAAACCCTCATCTACTACTGGTAGGAATCTGAAATGATGCAGTCACTTTGGAAAATATTCTGGCAGTTCCACAAAACATTAAGTAACCATTTGACCCACCAATTCCACTCCCAAGTATGTACCCAAGAGAAATGAATATATATGTTCACACAAAACTGATACACAAATATCCAAATGTCCATAAGCTGTTCATCACCTGATGAATGGTTAAACAAAATGTTGTGTATCTCTACAGTGGAATATTATTCAGCACAAAAAATGAAGGTCTAATAGATGCTCAGTCAACATTATCAACCTTGAAAACATTATGCTAAGTGAAAGAAGGCAGTCAAAAAATACCGCATGTTGTATAATTACATTTATGTGAAATATCTGACACTGGCATATCTATAGTGACAGAAAGCAGATGATAGTTGGATAGGACTGGGGGTAGGGCACAAATTTGAGGAGTAACAGCTAAAGGGTGAAGGGTTTCTTTGTGGGGTTATGAAATCATTCTAGTATCAATTGTGGTTATGTTTGCCCAACACTGAATATGCAAAACCACTCAATTGTACACTTCAAATTTTGAATTGTATGGTATGTTAATTATATCTTAATAAAGCATTATAAAAAGCTCTACTATATATAAATTAAAATGGAATACTAAAAATAGTCAAGAAATGGAAAGGAGGACAGGAATAAAAAACAGAAGGAACATTCAGTGTTCAACACAATAAATTGGAAATCTTAAATCTTAACATTCATAATTACGTTAAATGTAAATGGTATAAACACACCAATAAAAAGGCTGAGATAAAAAAGAAGACTTGATTATATGCTATTTATAAGAAACTCACTTAAAATACAATAACATAGGTGGTTAAAAGTAAACGAATGAGCAAAACTATAATAAATACTAATGAAAAGAAAGCTCGAGGTAAGTATATTAATATCTAATAAGGTAAACTTTAAGGACAAGACAATTACCAGAAACAAATAGAAATATTATATAACAATAAAAGGGTCAATTCAACAAGAATATATACAATTCCTAAATGTATATGTACTAAATCACAGAGCTTCACAATCCAGGCAGCAAAAACTGATAGAACAGAAAGAAACATTTGAGAACACAATTATAATTGGTAACTTCAACACTCTTCTCTCAATAATTTCTAGAACCACTAAAATGAAAATCAGCAAGGACACAGAAGAACTGAACACTGAAAAAAAGCAACAGGATATAACTGATATTTATTGAACACTTCATCTAATGACAGCCAGAAATACAGTCTTTCAAAACACCCATGGGACCCTCACCAAAATACTTAATAAACTGCATCATAAATGAATACTAACAGATTAAAAACTGAAGTCATACAAAGTATGTTATTTGATGACAATATAATTAAACTAGAAATCAATGACGGAATGATAACAGGAAATAGTGAAATATTTAAGATAATCCATGGATTAAAGAGAATCTCAAAGGAAATTACAAAGTATAATTAAATGAATAAAAACATATTATTTTAAGGTTCTTGCACCACCCATGAAGGAAGCTTAGAAGGAAATATATAGTAATGAATGCTTTTAATTTGAATAGAAGAATAATTTCAAATCAATTATCTATGCCTCTAACGTAGAACACTAAAAGAGAAGAGCAAATTTAACCCAAAATGAGCAGAAGGAAGTACATAAGAAAAATAAGAACAGAGAGCAATTACATTAAAGTCAGAAAAAAATTGAGAAAATCAATGAAGCTAAAAGTTGGTTCTTGGAAAATAAAATTAATAAATCTCTAATCAGATTGATCATTAAAAACAGAGGAGACACAAATTTCCAGTATCAAGAATGGCAGAGGGGTCATCTCTACAAAGCCTGCAGATATTAAAAGGCAATAAGGAATGTCATAAGCCATAAACTCACAATTTAAGTGAAATGGATAAATTCCTTAAAAGATATAATCCTTCAAAGTCCACTTAAGATACAGATACTCTGGCCGGGCGCAGTGGCTCACGCCTGTAATCCCAGCACTTTGGGAGGCCGAGGCGGGTGGATCATGAGGTCAAGAGATCGAGACCATCCTGGTCAACAC